CTGCAAATAGCTTCGTCTTTAGGGGCAGGACTTGGAGTCCACTTCCCCTTCTCACTGCTGGCCATTTGTCTGCATCAACACATTCTCCATGTGACTGCTACCTCAGTTTTAAAAGAAATCACACTGCTGATATTCAGCCCCTGTTAAAATCCTTTTTAAGAGCTCTCATGACCCATCATTTGAGTCAGATGCACAGGTCATTTGTAACCTGCCTGCCTATAAAGACTCAGACTCAGTGCACAACTGTCTCCTCTGTCTACAATCTCTCCATGCACAAATCTCCATGCAAGCACTACGGGTATCCTTCGTGCCTCTGCCTCTCTCACACCTTAAGTCATGTGCCTAGATTCTCATCACGGAGAGATGATCACCAACCACCTGCATCATGACCACAGGAAGACTCAGCTCACCAGGAAGGCTTCTCTGTTATGCTACCACCTCCCACCCCTAACCCAGGTAGAATACATCCTGAATTTCTTACTCATTTTCTGATTACAATCTTAAGAATCCTTGAGGGATCTGATATCGATTTTGACACTAAGCCACTTGGACAAAACATTTGTTACTCTTTTGTTAACTGAAACCCCACACCACTAAGGAAGAATTGTCTCTAAAGAAGTATGGCGGTATGAATGACTTCCTAACTTTTGCAACAGTAGAAAAGAACTAATATTTACTTGGATAATTTATATATTCCAGTCAATGTTGCACTAACTTTAGTTTAATGTCACAACAGTTCACTGAAGGAAGTATTCTTACCTGTGTTATAGGTGAGCACCTAAGCCCTGGAGAGGGAGGTTTGTTTCAGATTGCAAGCTCAGCATAGGAGAAGTGGAGGTTTAGAGGTGTGTCCTCAGAGCCGGGCTCTCAGTCACCTTCTCTGCTTCTGGCACACAGGCTCTGAAGTGGGAAGGTGAGGAAGGCAAAGTCTACACATTGTCCATCTAGTTGAGCTTATTGAGACTCAGCATAGGCCAGAGCCCTCCTAGGACAGAGCTGGATGACTAGCTATAGACCAGCTCTCCTGGTGAGATTTCCCCTCCTGTCTGAATGTGGAAACCCCTGGGGTTTACTGAAAGTAGAATGATCCAAGGAGAGAGGATTTGAGGTGTGATTTCCATGACATGGGACATCATCTAGTGATCCACAGCCTTTTGTGGTTTCCAGCCCCCTGGCCTCTGACTTGGTTTACAGTGACCCACCAGGACTGCTGCCCCAAGTCTATGAGCTCAATATTCACAAATGAAGACGGCATGGTTGATTTCCAGCAGGAAAGGATATACATGCTAGCTCCTACCTGCAAAGCCAGCATCTGGAAGGTTTAGGATCAGAAGTCCAAGATATACTTGAATATATAGAGTTTAAGGCCAGGATAGGCTACAGC